TTTTTTTTTTCAGGTCTTGATTTCATCCGAGCTGAAGGGTTTGTGTTTTCACATGTTGCTGATGAAGGGATTATAAATGCCTGTGCAGGCGACCTGCTACGGTACAGAAAACAAATTGGAGCAGAAAACATTCAGATTTTTGCAGATATTAAAAAGAAACATAGGTAAATAGAGCAATATTTTGTATAAATGTTAATGTAAGAGTGATCAGATGTTTTTCTCCATTTTCTGTTTTTTACTTCTATTTAGTGTCAGAAGAGTTAATAATATAGGGAGAACTTCATTATTCAAACAGGGTCTTGTAGTGCTATTAGGGGAAGTGTTTACAGATAAATTTGTACCTATAAGCCACAGGTTGCTGCAGCTATGAGATTTACAGTTGTTTAACCTCTAAGATTTGTAATGGCAGGCTGTAAATATCTTGCAGTTGGTATCAGGTGAGATGTTGTATCATCAAATACATGTCTGTTATGTTTAAAGAAATTTTCTTTCAGGAGGCTAAGCATCCAAGGTAATTATTAGTTATGCAAGCAACTTGCCACATACAAAACATCTAAATCATAAGATTTTGGCACTTAAGAAAGCTTTTCTTTTTTTTTTTTCTTTTTTTTTTGTCATACTAACAATGCTGGTTCCTTCTACTTAAATCAGTGCTGTCTGTGTACAGATCATGTTCCATGATTATCAAACAGAAGGAACTTATGACAGATAAATCCAGCTTCTCCTCTACTCATATTTTATCATAGTAGTCACATGGTACTTTTAGCTATTTATATGTCACTCTTTATTTTTTTTCCAGAAGCACTGTTCAAATGTTATGTATTATACATGCTAAATAACCTAATTAAAATGTTTGTGTGTAGTATATGGGTAATCGTGGGAATAACCTGAAGTTCTTAAAGATTTTCTTCTATAAGCTAATTATTTCAAAATATAAAGGACACATGCAACATAGTCAAATTAAGCTTTAAGGTTCTTCAAAGTGGTTTCTTTCTAATCTTTTCTTTATAGTCTAACTATTTGATAATTCATTCACTCCTTTACGGCTACCCTCCATATGCTAGTCTCCTGTACACCTTATTATATGTATTATATAGTTATCTTAGGCCTCCTTTATGCAACTGCAAAAGAGGAATTAGTATCCTTACTTTTGCGCCCGCACCAGGAGTGCAAACCCTGCAGAACGAACATGTGCTTCTTTACAGGGCAAAGCACAGGCTGCCCCAGGGCTGGCTCCATCCTCTGTCATCACGTATCGTTGTGACAGACTGGCCTTAGTCATTGGTGTTTCTGTATTTCTGTTCTAAGTAGAAAAGAGAAGATGAGTTGTTTAACCTTCAATGGCTAGAATTCTTTCAAAGTTTAGAACTGTTTAAGTCAACATTTGTTATTGCTATAGATTTTAGGTAAAGTGTTTTCCCTGTGGACCAAGGACTGCTCTTTCACAGATAAGAGGCAAGTAATTGGAACTGCTACAGGAAGATGGTTCCTGTGACCATTACAGGTAGTGAGTTTACTTCATGTTAGTTGAACTTCATGAGATGAGGTGCGGGGTATTAATTCAGCTCCACATAACGGATTCTGATTCATGAATGGCCGAACATCCCTGATTCCCTCCTGGAGTTGGGGAAGCTGTGTGCAGCCAACCCTTCTGAAATGCAGGTGTGCTTGATAGATCGCTCTTAGCAATTGCTGTTTAGAGACAGAGAGACAGAGCAAAGACCCAGAGCAGTAGGTCCGTCCGTTATGATACTGAGGGAAATGCTTTTCTTTCCCTTCTCTCTTGTTCATATTGCAGTCTCACTTCCTATTTTAAAACAGAGCGCTTACCCTCTCTTAAAGCCTCGCTTGAGTTGTTCTGACAGCAGGGAAGAGAAAGAAAAGCAGTCTAAACATTCAACAAGATGGATAACAAATGTGTGCACCGCAAGTAACCAGAGGGTCCATTCCCGCTGTTTCCAGTGCTCACGCTCTGACGGCAGATGTCAGTGTCGCCGAGACCGCGAGGGCGGCCGAGCTCTTCCTGGCTGATGGGGTCGTGTTGACGGGAACGGCGACTGCAGCGCCCGCCGATCCGCAGGAGCTGAGAGGTGAGAGCTGGCGTGCCAAGGCCGGGCGACAGGCATCTGGAAGCTGATCTGAATCAGCTTCTGGATTAATGTAGTGGGAAATCTATATATCTGCTTTTCCTGAGAAAAGGAGGGGAAGAAAAGAAACTCGCTTTTGATTGTGGTTTGATTTGATACAGCAAAGCTATTGTAACTGAGGTTCTATTTAGTTTCAGTGGTATGTATCTAAACAACGATTTGGTATGATAAAAATGAAAATTATGTCAAGATTTTATAAAATGGAATGATACTGAGATTGACATTATTATACAAAAAGGTTCAATTTCTGAAAAGATTTAGTATAATAAAATTATGTCATCCTTATAAAAAGTTAATTTAAAGTGAGAAAAAGAATCTTCTCAGTGGAAAGATTGAGATCTTCTGAAATGGAGGCACATGTATGGAGGAAGGGAACATTTGAATTTGGTAACATTCTCAGCTACTTAGAATATTTTCAGAAAGTGTACTACTTCACTGCTAAAGGATTATATGATATTTACATTATTTTGTATGCTGTGAACTTCTTATGAAGGGAGGCTTGTGAATTCTGACCTTTGCAGAAGTGCTTGCATGATTCTTCATGTCTTTCTATTGGCATAGATTTGGACTATCTTCATGAAACTAATTGCTCCCATCTGGAATTTTCATTCTGCATTAATGGCTTATTTTAAATTAGACTAATGGGTTGATTTTGAGAGTTTGTCTATATAAAGAAGTACATTAAGTACATACCATGTATATTAAAGTATATTCACCTGTCTAATTTGGAGTTTGAAAACATGCTAGCTATAGCATTAGCTAAAACAAGTTCAAAAAATGCCACTTTTATTCAAGTGTGGCCAAGTTACAAGAAATATTGGACATCCACAGCTGCCTTTGAAGCAATTTCTGTTCCAAGTTCAGTCATGACTAGTGAGGATCAATCAGCAGAATTAATTAGTGCATGCTTGATCAAACTTAAAACAGTAGTACCTTTGGCAAAAAAAAAATTTGAAGGAGGAAAGATATTAATATGGGCTCTCTTTCTTTAACATATTCTGGTCTAAAACACCCAGTTGCTATTCTTTCTTTATTATTATTTAAGAGAAGAAAAAGCAGATGAGAAGCATACTTTACTTTCTTGCTGTGGAGACCTGGGGCCTCATACACTTGGAATAATTTGAAATCATTCGACTTTTTTGGTATTTACCCATATCATACATGTTTATCAGCATCTAAAAGACATGTTGAACTTGTTAATATTGATTTTCATTTTATATACATTAAACAAACTGTTGGCCAAAGAAAAGATGATAAGAGAATATACTTCAGTTCAGCAGTGTTAAAAATAAAGTGATGGTTTGGGGTGGATACTGAGCTCATGAACTAGTTGGGATTTTTTCATACCATAAACTAGAAATGATACATAGAACAAATCATGCTGAAAGCTAGGTATATTTTAGAGGCTGCAAAATTTCATTGATCTAGTGTTTTCTCACTGCCTTCAATTAATGTCACATCACTTTTAATGCAGATTACATTTAAAAAAATGAGTATAATAAGTCTTAGGGCAGTTCTAGGGTAAATTCTGTTTTCCAGTACATGCATGCAAGTTCCATTGATTTCATGCATCGGAGAGCAGAACGTGTCCTGTAGGCTCATAGGTTTTTTTCTCTGACATGACCCCAACGAGACAACAGTATGAATTATTATTTTCTTTCCTGTTGAAAAAATGTCATTCTCAGTCTTGTTGTCTTTTGGGGTGCAAAGAACAAAATGAATCAGAGTTGGCAGCTGTAATGAAGTACACACATAAATTTTATATTTGGATTTGTTCTACGAAGCAAGAATCTGAGGCTCATGGATTTACGTTACTCAGGTCACAGGATTTTGAGACATTAACAGGCTATCTCATGAGAAGGCTGTTGGCTTAACACAGTTAAGAAAAGAATTGAAAATCAATATTCCAGGGTATAAGGAAATGACAAATCAGGCACATTTGTGTCTCCAGATTCTTAAAAGGAATCTGATCTGCAGTACACAAAAGTTGGTGTTGTCATGGGTGAAATTTTGCATTTCACGTATTTATGCAGTACTGGAAGTTCTGCATTACGATGCTACACACAATTGGGCACCTTTCATCACACTGCAAAGCATCTCTTGAAAGCAGAAGCAGAAAGACAGATGAGATTTTGTCATGTCTCTTTTCCAGCTTTGTTGTGCAGTAATGCAGAAGTCTCTTTGCTGTTGTGTCAGTGTGTTAAATTGACTGATTTGCGATGGGCTATGGGAAATGAGTGTTTCCCTGTCAAGCCAGAGAACGGTATTCAGTATGGTTTTGTTTGTAGTTGTTTTGCTACCTTCTCGTAGGCAACTATCAATGTTACTCTTTATGGCAACCGGCAGGCTTTGCTCCTGCAGTGAGCACCGACCTTCCTATAGAAAAACTTTGGTTTCGGCACGTGTGCCAAGGCACCGTGGTTGCTCACAGGAGCAGGAGATCTAAAAACTTAATGTTGCCTTCAGGTCATTAAGGAGCAGGAATTATAGCTGAGCTTTTTGAATTACAATTAATTTATTTAACAGACCATATTTCCATTTAAGAGGTTATATGACTTTGTTCCAGTTTGTTACGCTGTAAAAAGGTTCTTTGATTGGGGAGAGTGAATATATCAGGTTTGCTGTTTGAGTATATATGCTTTCAGCTTAAATTCCTGATTCAAATCCAGTCCATATTTAAGTGATCAAAGCCTTTGTATAATGATGCCTATTTACTGTTTTCTGTGAACAAAGTGGATGGTCTTGGCTGAGTAACCAGGGGACATTACAAAAACCAACAGCTGGCTCTGGCTGTCGCCTCATTTGTAACCATTCATATAGGGCATCAAGGCTGATTCGCCCTCCCACATTTTGATGGTCTGTTTAAGTCAAAATAGAGGCTGCTGCCTTTGCAGTTCCCTCCTGTAGATAAACAGGAGTTGTAAGTCTCTGATCTGTACTTTTTGTAAGCCCGAGATTTAATGACAGGAAGAAAGTCCTTTGAATATAAAAGCTAAAATGTGTTACAGTGGAGCATTACCATAAACAGTGCTGTGTACGGTACAGTGATTACTGCATATGAAAAAGCTGTTAAAGAAGAGTAGTCGAGCAAGTTATTGGCCCAGTGGTGCTTATTTTTACACTGCTCTTTGCCATTGTTTTCAAGCTAGGAGCATTTGGCCTTTATTTCATGTAACTTGTGCATACCATAGTTCAAATGCTTTCATTGTGCTTTGCAACCAAGCACTATTTCATATGATTTTATTAAAGACATGTCTGCAGATGTGCTGCCACAAGAAAGAGCACAGTGCCCTCTAGTTACAGTTTATTGAAGTAGAGAAATATGCAAGTTCTGTAAATGCTGGGATCTGGTTGTTTTAACATCACAAAATTGTCTCCTTTTCTCTCTGTGTCAGAAAATATTATCAGAGGAAGAAAGCTGAAAAACATTTTAAACAAGGCTGTATGTTTGGAGACATCTAGCAGTGACTGAACGTCACTGTGCAGAAGCGTATCTCACTGCTGTTGCTTTATTTTCTTTTACAAGTTAGAATTTGCATTAACAAAGCCAATAGACAAGTCATTTTACACTAATCAACTTTAGGCCTTGATGTGTTTGGAAATGACTTAAAAGTAATGTCTGCAGCATACTTAATAAGGTAACCGAGGCTTATTAGAGACGGGGCACTCCCGTTGCCTGTCTGAGGAGAGGAAGAGCTGCGTGTGGGCAGCACGTGTCACCTGTGGAGCACAGCAGGCGCTGGATTTCTTGCTCTATGGAGAAGCTTGGGGGTTTGGGGTAGTTTCATCAGTCTCAGGTTTTGTTGTTGCATCTTTGCCCTATAGGGCTATCCTTTTGTCTCTCACCCTTGTGATCACGCCCTGTTTAATCTTTTGGTTCTCTGTTTTTCCTGCTGGTGGGTAATAAATATATGCACAGATATGTGGTCAGTTGTAGCACCTTTGTGAATCTGTGTAAAGCAGATTTGATGTTCCTAAAAGTACGTAAATGCTATATATATATTTTTTTCTAGAAGGGAAGTTCATTAACAATATTATAAATAATTAAAATAGGAATTTTTTTGTTGTTGTAAAAAAGGCTTCCATTACTTTTATTCTTTTGTCTTCAGATGGTTGCAGCAACTGGTTGTCGGTCCTAGATGAAGAAACAGTAGGATGTGTGACCTAAAAAGAATTGTGGTTTAAATGATCCCCTTTCTTTAGTGAAGTAGCCTTCCCTGAAGCACTGTATTCTTGCTTTCTGGTAAACCAACTGGAGTCCGTATGACCACTGCTTGCTTTCCTACTTCCATGTTCCCTGGAATTTATTGTGAAGTCGAGAGCCATGTTACTTTTCCTTTTCATGTAAATAAGGCCCCCTTTTTTTTTTTTTTTTTTTTTGCTTCTTCACTGAAGATGTTCCGCAAGATAACCACATAGCATAAATTCAGCAAAGAAACCTGACAGGAATATATACCAGACCAACTACCATTATTATGCTTTAAACTGATGACTGAAGAACTGTAATGAGCATAGTCCTACTGGGTAGTTCTGTCATTCTAATAATCCCCCCACATGTTTGCAAAAAAGAATATGAGCTAATGCAATAAATGCAGAGAAAGAACAGCATCTTGCTCTTATTTCTGTGTTTTCTTTCTTCATAGGAAGATCTTTCAGGGGTCCAGGTTTCAGTTGTTTTAAGGTGAAAGGAAAACAAGAAGCAGTTAAGAGCCTGCAAGAGGCAGGGTGGCTCCAGCAGGAGGAAATCCTCTGTTAAGGCAACGGACCTCATTTGTCTGGAAGCTGTATCAAGTGCTGCAGCAATGCGATCAGTGAACTGTAGCTCTTTCCCATGTACGTGTAGTGCAGTGGAGCCTCTGAGTGTGATGGTAGCAGTTGCTTAAGTGAGGGTCCAGGGTGCAGCAAAAGCCATGCTGGTCCTGCTGTGCAAAGGCCTCCCGGATCCAGTGTCCCTTCTCACCAGGGGCATGGGATATGGATGAATTTATGCGGGAATGCAGTTGAAGGCAGAGTATTCTGTGCCAAGCAATTTTGCTGGATGTTGATCCCCTGAGAAGGAAGGGGGATATGGGAGTTTTAAACCCATCTTCCCATAGCACTGAAGCTCTGCTCTGAAATGTCCCCAGGAATGCTGTTTTGCAGGATTTCACATAACGACAGAATGCAAAGCAAAATGATATTTTGTTAACAGTTGCTCAAAGCTGAAGGTGGTTTCCCTAAAGAAGCTGTTTTCTCCTCTAGTAAGAGTAATTAAACCATGATCTGAGTTTCTTGACACTTACCTTGATGGAATTTTAAAGATTGGACAGAGGAGGTCAGAGGACATAACTCTGATACTGGTTTTCTTCATTTCAGAGGTTAAACATGCCGTGAAGATTCCTGTGCTGATTGGGTCTGGGGTGACTCTGGAAAATGTGAAGAATTACTTGGATGCAAATGCCTTAATAATTGGTTCGTATTTCAAGAAAGAAGGTTACTGGGCAAATGGTGTTGATCCTGACCGAGTAAATAGATTTATGGATCACATAAGAAAACTGAGAGAATGAGTTTGTTAGCAAACAATGTCTCTTGTTTGTATGTATGAAAAATGAAGTTTGATACATTATACAGAATTAAAACACGAATGTGTACTTGAAGGGCTAGTAACATTAAATGAAAATGCCTATCATCTCCATACATAGTTGGGAACCAAATGACACTATAAAATAAACTGTGGGTAGTTTCTAGGCATCGTATTTCTGAGGTATTCAAATCCACAAATTCAAACTTTGTTGGCTTGTGTAATATACCCTTAATATAAGTAAAATGCTTATGGAGTTTAAGCATTTTTAGTAAATATTCATCAGAAGATGAGCTGAGCTTTCCTTCACTTGTGAGTGCAGTAGGACACCCTAAATTTACAGCTAACAGTATTGTAAATCGGACAAGTTAATTAGCCTTTCAGTTTCCCTATCTGTAAAATGATGATAATAGTACCTACATCACAGGGGGGTTGTAAGACATAATAAATGAATGAATGTATGCACTTTCATCTCCTCAAATGAAGGGCTCTATTAAAGTTCAAGATCATTATTTTTCCATTAGAATTATGCATTTGTTAGAAAAAAAAATGTAATAATTGTATACCATACAAAAATTTAAAATAATTGGGAAATTGATTTACTTATAATACTTATTAGAGAATAAATGCAAATATATAATTACACTTTAAGTAGAGTTGGAATTTATTCAAAATGTTTTCACAATTTTTTTAATAAAGGTTCATTGCTATTTTTCAGCAAGTTCCTACAGCTTTGTACCTCTTCAGACTAGTAGGAATGTTAACAACTGCCAGGTTCCTTCCTATACACACAGGTGTAATTATGATTGAAGCCTTTCTACGAAAACTGAAAGGTAAATACAGATTTTCATTTTTCCTGTAAAATGTGGGGGAAAATATGATGGTCTCAGTGTGTATATTATAAGAGATTGCACTTCAATTTGATCTTTAAGCTCTAAGGAAGTTTAAAAAAATAACAAAGAGGATCTGTTGTGTTGTGGATGTATGAAATGTGGGCATATGTTTCCATTCCTTGGGACTGTGAGCTAAGTTTGTCCTCTGGGACCTCTTTCTCCTTCCTTGACAGCTCTACATCAGACTTCTGCTAATCCTAGTGCAAGTGACATTGTATATACCAAAGCAAGTATAAAAACTTTTTGTGTGTGTGTCAGCTAGCAATTCTTCCCTGAACAAAAGATGCATCCTCCTTACAAAGGCAGAATTAGATTTTTTAGGAAATTTAGTTTTGTTAATGTAACAATGATTCCAAAACATTGTAGCCTGAGACAAAGTCTTCTCTTCAGGTGCTGTTTCTCTGGAACAGTTTGTCTCCCACCTTGCTCCCCTCAGGAGTAGACAAATGTCTTTGGTATGCTGGCTTCCTACAAAACACATTCTTTAAGACCCCAAGACAGCCTTAATGTTCTGTTTACCTCCCTTTTCTTCTCAAGCAGACTGACAAAATTTCAGTGCACAGAAATCTTTCAGGTGCCTGTTTGTTGTGTCTGGCGCTACTTTTTCTAAGACCGTATTTACACAAGCATTTTAATTTGCTCTATGTTTGCATTTCCATCCAAAGACGTTGTTCCATCCCAGCCACTTGTCCCCATCATTTCTCTTCTGACTGCGCTAGTATTTGTGTTTCCTCAGGAAACAGATTGTAGCTGAAAGTTAACCTGGCTTTGTACCAGCCACATGCATAAAGGTAGTTAGATCATCTCGTTTTTCATTCCATTTCCAGCTATAAGTCCAAGCTGTAGGTATAGGCAGTGTGCAAGTATTTGAGGATCTTAAAGATACTTTCTAAATCTTTTTTCTTTGCATCCATTCACTCTCTGCATATTTTGTATATAACCGTGCTCACCAGGTAAAGTGTTGATCTGATTTCTTATCTAGGTTAACGTAAATTATGAATTTCTTGTTACATCTTCCTTACTGTGGGAAAAAATACCTTATGAAATAAAGAATGAATTCAGTCATTAGTAATATCTGTGTGCTTAAATCATACATATTTTTCACCTTTGTGTGTTCAGGACTATTTCAAGGCATTTCACAAGTGGCATATATTTCTGTAGCTGATTGCGCAGAAGATTTAATGATGATTGTGCCACCACATATTATCTAAGAGAACTGTCATGAAGTTTGGAGTTATTTTCAGTAAACGTATAAGGTAAAAGGCTGCCATGTAAGCAGTGAGCCCTAGTCAACGCTAGTGTTGTAAGCAGAGTAAACATTTTAGAGTAGTCAGTTGAAAACTATAACCAATTCACTGATAAAGATCATTCAACAATGATAATTATTTTTAAAGAAACTGAATACAGTTGTCAGAAGTTGCATTCATTGCTACAAATGTGCAAATGTAAAGTATTATTAGCATGTTTCTTGTGTTGGTTTATTTTCATACTCATCCTAAAATCACACAAGTGACTACAACTCCACTGGATTTACACCTGAATGAAAGGGTTGCTAAGTGAAAATTACATCAGTACCATATATAAGGTGCAACTGAAATAATGTCATATACGGTAGTTGTAAGACAAAACCCCAATGAGTTGTTGTTGTGCTCAGAACATGTGTCGAATGCTTGCAGTCTCTCAGTGCTTTGTTTTAGCACTCCATTGTGTAGCACTTGCAGGAGAAACAGGTCATAATTTAGAACTACATTATTACATATAAAGTGTAACTGCAGAATTTAGGGACCAGAAGTGAAGCAAAGCTGATTTTAAAGCCTGGGAAGGTGATTGATCGCCAACTCTTTATCACTCTTTGTGCAGAAAGTATTTGTCTAGCAGTGTTAAGCATCTGCTTGCTTGTTTCACACAGATGCTTTAAATAGAATTTGACCTTTTGTTCAGAAAGTGCTTGAATATTTAATGTAAAAATATTAAGTTATCAGAAAGGCTGTCTCTTTTGGGAAAAGTGTTCAATTTTTATACAGCCCGAGTTCTTAAAGTACTTTGGAGCATGAATAACTTCAGAGCAGAACAAAGCAGGCAGTGCTAATGTGTAGAAACTCCAGAAGTAAATAACAGCTGTTCAAGAAGACTTCTATTAAATATGTATTAATTAAGTTGAAGTGCATCACTTAAATATGTGAAGAGATTATCTTGTGTTAATTTACATTAAAACACACAGCACTTGTTAGCCTCATTACAGCATCCTGAGTGTATCTGAAGCTATCACCTCATCCTACACTGAGCATTTTGTTGGGTGTTGATTGCTTTCGATTTGCCCTTTGAAAATGTCAGATAGTGGCCTCCCTTTCTTGTTGGATCTCTTCTTTATCTCATGTTTTGCTCTTGCATAGTTACTCTTACTATTTTTGTCCATTTTGTACGTAAGAGAAGAATAGATTGTGAAAGTCAAACATCCATTGTTCACAGCACAGTTCCCTAATGTGCCCACCTGTACTACATGTGTAGTTCTCTCTGTTAACTTACAAACAGGCTGCAAGAACTTTAATATCTATTTGTGTAGCAAAATGAGTTCGTACAAAGATTCAGTACCATCTTTAGTATGGAAAAGATACCTGGAAAAATGATGTCTGTTTAGTGAAATTACGAGTAAGTAGTCATAAAACTTCTATCATAAAAATGATAGTACTTTGTGGTTTAAGTTAATATGTAAATCTAAATAAACCCTCACTGCATTCTTGAATACTATTATTGTGCACTGAAAGCAGGTAACTTGAAGAGATGCAGTCCTAAAAAGTCCTGTTAGCCTTGGCTCCCAGGTTTGGGCCTATATACTAACAAGGGCCTTTGCCATCCTACACCTGACCTCCATGAAAGAGTGCTGGTTAGCCCCCAGCTCTTTAGATTTATCTAACAGCAATCCACTCTGGGCTCCCTGCTGCAGAAATAACGTGAGGAGCTAAAGTCATTTAGAGGTTTATTGAGCTGAGTTTTCTCCATAGAGTCATCAAGGAAATGCAACTAGTTCCATGCTTCTCTGTGCTTTTAGTGGGACTTGCAATAAATTGTTCATATTGAAGGGTATGGAGCTTTTCTCCATCTTTTTTTTTCTACTTCTAGACATTGTTTGACACTCAATGGTAAGGATTATTTGAGCCTTTGAACTCTTGTTTTAGGGATAGGAAGCCTGTTTCCCAAATACTGGCTGTTAAAGACCTACATTAATAACTACTAATAACCTCAGTCACTGTGTTCTCATATGGTGGATGGCTAGAAATCTTCTATGGGTACATCCATACTTACTCAATATTAACTGGAAGACATTATGTCGCTTCATCCATTCATACTCCTGACTTCATCTGTCACCAAGAAACTTTCAGACACTCACTTGTTCAAGTCCAGACAGGCCTAGTAAAAACTTACCTTGGATTATTCTTCAGTTGGCAACGTTACTACTTCTCTATCTCAGAGTGTTGCCTTTGGGGCACTGACATATTCCAGCCTTCATAGATTACTCCCTTTCTCCCTTACGCTTTGTTCACAGCCGGAGAACAGTTGTTTCTTCCAATCAGACTGTGTAGAATTTGCAGCAAATACAGAAAACGAAGGCAGCAGCTGAAGCAAAAGTGAGGGTAGATGGTCTCCAGTGAAATGTTGAGAGTAATGGATGATTTTTTCCTCCAGTCTTTCAGTGCACAGAGAATCTTAAGGGAAAAATAAGAACTCTTTCTGCAATGCAAATATGAAAGCCTTTCACCTGAGGCAAAAAGGCTGCAATTCACAACCTACTTTCAGTTTCTTTGCTTACAGTCTGAAATTCTGGAAGTAGGAAGGATAGGGGAGCCTAATATGTTGCTTGTGAAATACTTCAGGCAAGGTGGGAAAAGATGTGTGAGGAGAATTCCCTTGATTAAAAATTACTGATTTTATTATCAGGTAGCGTTATTTTTAGATATCAAAAAGTGATCCTTGTCCATCTTTGATTTACACAACATATTTTAAAATGCACAGGTAGCTTCTGCTTCTGTCCTACTACCTATGCAAAAGGGACTGTCCTACTACCTATGCAAGAGCGATAGGATTTCTAGTTTAGGTGTAGGAGCTAATGATTATACTGACATTA